GGGTTCTGGCTGCATCAGGGTAGGTCCATGTGGCTTCTCCAGCTCAGGGCACTAGTGTTGTTCCATGTGTTTTGTCAGTTGCCATGTTTCCCAGGGAGTGCTCAAAGAGAAAAGTGTCTCCAGTCTTCACGGAGGAAAATAGCGTAACTTCCCAGAATCCTCAGGAGAAGGCTATGCCCACACAGAAGTCTCATTCTGAATCCTCAAATTGACACCAGCTTATGTAACTGCCACACAAGGTTACTTGATGGGCTCAAAGACATGATGTCCCCTGTCCACTGGGACTAGAGACCGAGGGGCTGCATAGGACAGAGCCCTTCTTTCTATTGCATGGATAGACTCACTCAGCCTGTTTGGAACAGTTGTTATAACAGCAGGGGATTCCACGCAATCTCCTCTGCTCTTCTGAAAGGACTGGTTTCTCAATGTGTTGCTTGCAAAAATTCAAGTCCGAACGTTAGAACCTCATTCCACAATGTCATCTGATTTGGACGGATAGAAGACTTACTTGCTGCATCTCTTGGATGGTGTCAATGGCAAAGTATTCAGCTACTAGCCCAAATGTTCAAATCCACCCAGGGCACCTAGCAAGACAGGCCTGGAGACCTGCTTTCGAAAGGTCATCGCTTGGACAACCCTATGAAGTGGCTTCACTTGCACACACGGGGTCGCTAGGAGTCAGAACTGACTCATGGCAACCAGCAACAACCCGTCTCCTAGTTTGCTTTCCCCTTGATTCAGTTCAGCTGACCCAGCCTAATTCCTGCCCCAGTCTTCTGCTATGAGCCGTGTCGCCCTGGCTCCCAGAGCATTCTGTTGACAGTGTAGGCACTGGGTCTTGTCACTCTCCTTGCATGGCCAGCATTCAGAGGTGGCTGAAGGGAGCTATCACTGTGGCCCAAATATCCACCACTCCAATTCTTTCGTATCCATAATTAATATCTGCTCATTTTAAAATCAAGTGACATTACAGCTTATTTTCCAAGTGTATAACTGTTTCCTTTCTTCAAAAAATTCCTCCAAAGAAACCAGTCTATGTCGAAATTCTAAAACTGTCATGGCTTCTCTGCTTTTAGCACCTTGGAGGTTTCCATTGCCCTTAAAATAAGGTAGACTAGAATGTCCACAACATGGAATACCCTTTGCTCTTAGAACAGAATGAAAGCCTTAACCTGGGCTACAAGTCCCTGCACGATCTAGCTCTCACCTTCCTCCATGACCTCATCCTATACCACTCTCCCTCTTCATTGTGCTCCAAGGCCAGCCACACGGCCTTCTCTTTCTTCCAACTGTTACCAAGGTTCTTTCCTGCTGCAGGGCCTTTGCAGATACCATTCCTGCTCTCTAAGGAACTATCTTTATTACTTCTTCTTGGATGGCACCTCATCCTCTAGCTCAATGCTTACCGGCCATTTCCTATGAAAATAGAGGGTATTTTTCTGTATAACACTTAACAATTTGTTCACTTCTTTATCTACTGCCAAACCAAAAGCCACACGTAGACAAGGCACCACTTGTGGTTCGTTTAGTGGGCACTTAACACAGTGCTGGCTGATGTTAGACAGTCAATAATTTGCTGAATGAATGAACATCATGGCTGCCATTGCACTCGCTCACCGTCAGCCGTAAGTCTCTATCAGAGTCATGCATATACTCATTTTTGGCTCATGGGAGGTGCTGAGTAATTGTTTACTGAATTGAGATATCCAAATCTTAACATCTTCTGCATTGATTAATATAGGTTTATTCCTTTTATGTTCCTGTACATTTTAAGCTTTCTAAAGTTTCTAAAATTGTAGTTCTTCTGTCTTTAGCAACCTTTACAGTGAAAAAGACATTTTAGCAACATGTGCTGCTTTGAGGCTATTCTGTCCTACTAAAAAAAGAAAACGTCCTGGAACATTAGCTAATTGGTTAATACTTAATGATAAATGTTGATCTGCACGATTAGAAGTTCCATCTGGCATTTGACGATTGTTGTTATTCATCTATTTACCTCTGGTATCTCGCGAGATAAGCTTGGTTATACTGGCCTCATTTGACTGAGGGAAGTCTTCAGATATCCCATGGAAG